ACTTTTATCTAGGTGTGTTGCTCTGTACGATCTTGTAACTACTAACTGAACCAAACTGTCTCAGACAGTAAATAGACTTGGTAATGCCCGAGTTTCGCATAGAAGTTAGATCAGTTGAAAAGTACTAGCAACTACAAACCTCTGAACTGCTGCGGTCATCCTCTCGTCATAATTCTGAGAGCTAAATCGTTGTTTACAATTAAATTGTTAGACAATGGGTCATTGCTGAGTGGCAGTGTTTCATAAATTTACTCGCACAGGTCATCTCATCGACGCGTGGTGTGCCCGTGTATGGGTGTGGGTGGATGAGACGTGGAGTGACTTTAGGTGACCTTATTTTTTCCCTTACTGGTGTTGGCTTAGCCTCATTCAGATGCCTCATTCCATTACTCTTAACTGTCAAGTCGACAGTCTTTTTGCCTGACTCATCAGTAGCCACGAGCTCCACGTAGCTTCATCACCGTTTTCGGCTTATATTTACATGGTTAGTAAGACGCGGGTAGGACAAATGCAATTCGCACACATTGGACTGTTTGCCATCTCATTTTGACGAACGCCACAATGCAGTAGTTGTTTAAGGCATGCAAATGTGGTGCTTATCCAATCACCTCGTTAAAATTCCGATTTTCGTGGCTAATTTTTTGCCCTTGGCTTTCTGCTTTTTTTTTCTCACCTAAGTCCAGAGAGAAATAGTATCATTTTAGAATATGGCATTCGAGATATCCTTATTGTGCTGCAAGGGGAAGGGAGATCTGAACTTATCCTCCATTCAAATCACTAAGTAGGAAATTGATTTGTGGTAAGTTTTTGTTGGTACAAAGAATAACCAGCTCCACTTCATCGAGGACTAAAAGTGGAAAGATGACCTGGTGCACAGCATACTCTGATCTTCTAGATGCCTAGTTTCAGATTTTCTTGAAATTATCTATCGCTTGTGCAAATCCACAGGATGATCCATTGTACCTAGCGCTGCCAAAGCTGACTGATATGAAGACATGCCAGCAGAATTCGCACCGATAGACTTTCAGTCGTCTCTGAAATAATTGCATAATTTCAATACCCTGACAGTGGACGGCTGAGTGCCACGTCTACACACGGCGGTTGAAGTATGCCCTGACCACTAATGGGCTTAGCAGCATTTTCAGTGGGAAAGCCTGTTCATCCGCTCGCCCTCCCCCCACGCAGAGCTGACGTCTCGGCTGATGATGTCTTGGTTGATTCACAACATGGTGGATAGTTTGGAGTGATAGTTGACCCGGGTCATGGTCAAATTGAATGTTTGAAATTGCAGTCTTGGTCCCTTTTTCATCCTTGGCTTGAATGAGTAAAATTTTTTCAATATTGCGATACCATCTACTCGAATTGGCAACTCTCAGTCCCCTTAGCCCGGAGTTGAACCCTTCGAGGCCCCCTCCTTTAAACTGTACCTCGGCACCCGGATAAATCAAACCAGCGCTGGGGTTACCAATCGAGGCTGACCTTTGGAAAAAAACATATTAACGCAGTGCATATGTTTCCATGATTTCATTGGGCCACAGGTTGCCTCCCTTTTGTCCTTTGTTTGGGTGTGGAATAAGATTAACTGCAACCTGTCGAAAAGAACTGTCAAAGGAGGCGTATCATACATGTATCTCACTAGAATCAGACAACATTCTGAAGCTTTTGAACGACGGTGAAGGAGAAACTGCCTCGGTTTTGTCTTTCGTGATCATTTTGATACGATAACCATCTTGTGACCTTGCCTTACTTCTTATCGTCCGTTTTTCTTTCCTATCCACTCTTTATATCTGGGCCAACACTCATTTGCATATTTCGCGGTTATGGCGACAGTCCTCAGACCATTCGTGTGAATGTTGCTTTGCAAAGCTGTGATCGCTTACGTCTCTCATCCACACGTCTTTCTGCAACAGAATCGTCGAACTAACTGCAATGCACTTCAGCGTACACGCACGTGTCGCTCCAAATGTGGGCCCATTCGATGAGCTATTGCTATAACAAGGTGATCTTGTGGAAATTTTTAAGGTTTTTTCGAAACATTTTCATTTAACTTCGGAATTATGTACATTATTTGATCTCGTCTCCCACATTTTTGCATCACTCCTCACCTATGGTTTAAAAGAGCAGGTTCTTTAAGGAAGCATCAAAGCTGACTTTAGTTATTAGTATGCTCTTGGGCTCCTATGTGAAAAGAGTTTGCTTCGTTTGGAACTGCAATTTTGCCTCGTCGGAGTATTAGCTATCACCTAAGAAATTTATTAATTTTGTCTTCGCTTCACCTCATTCAATAACTTTCTCAAAAACTTTCCCCGTTTTAGTTTAATTGTCGTTTTACCTCCTTTTGTCCTGTTTTCGGTGGCGCAAACGCCAAAATTAAGGGTTTGTCGCTCCTTGACTCCGTATTCCGTGCTTGTGGTAAGCGTCGTTAAGCCATCGAAACACGATTTATGCTTGTGCTTTTTTTTGTGTCGCGTACGCCACAACTTCGTCTTTCACGTTTTTGAAGACTATTGCCAAACTTGGCTTTCTCTAACTCGGTTGCGAACTTTAAGTCCGCACTTCTTCAAGAACTGATCCTGAGTCGAACGAGAGGTTGTGCTTGTATGAGACCCTTATGTCATGCACATGGTTCACCTCGGATACCTGCGACGACCTCAACTCTCTTCTTCCGATTATTTTTGCACTGTGAATTCTTCTAGACCTGTGATGGACTTATTAATTCCATTGCAGTCGCTTAACAGTGTCTCCCATTGTAGAAGGACTGCAAGACCAAAGAGGAACAGGAAGACCTCATTGTGATCGATGTATCAGATCTGTGAGGGCAGACTACCTCTCCCATGATTCCTTCTCTCAACTTTAAAACATTCCAACCTTCCGCTGTCTCATCCCAACATCCTTCTCTTCCCAAGTCTCCCACACCCACCATCAGTTTGATTTACCCACTGGCTTTTACTATTTTGTATGCATTCCAATGGCAAATGGGATTTGTAATGAGTTTTTTGCTCTTTTTGTTGTCATATGTTGCATCCTAGTGGAATTCGTGTTACTATCTAGTGCAAGTAAGTCGTAGTCGATTTTTAACCTGATCACCACGTCGTGTGCACTCAGTTATTTATGCAAAAGAATAGTATGTGAATAAGTAAATTATGCAGGGTGACTTTTGCCAGAAGTAGCTGTACAGTTTCAAGACTTCCTACTAGGTGGAAGAAAGCAGATGATGGACTGAATGTTTGCATTCAGTAGAAAATGTGAAGGGAGATATTTGGCTTGACCCAAGGGATGGCCCACGCAGCCAAGAGCAAGGTTAGTATCGAAGTGAATGCCAGTCATATAAAGGTAGTTAATTAAACGAGGAATTATAATAGTGACGAGTGTTGAGCGCAGGGTGGTGTTTACTACCTGAGGAGCATAGTCTGAACGTACCTTCGCGAAAAGGGTTGTTAAAATAGTTGCAGCAGTGGTTATGTAATGTCTGTGGAAATTTAGCGTAAATTCTTGTTATTGAAGATTTAACACTCGTTATCAACTTGGAAATAAAATCGAATTTATAGTAGATCACTAATGTACATAAAAAAATAATATGATAAGGAAGGAAACGGGGGAGTGAGTTCGCGTACTCGTTGTTTAAGTTCAATAGGTTAATAAACGGTTCTAGGCTTTGGTAAAGGAGTTATGATAAGTCTACCGGACATTTTTACCTCCGAGACATGCATGTAGCTCTAGGCCTACTTCATGCCTTTAGTATAATCGATGTAATTTATTTTCAGGTGTGACACTTTGTTTATGTGACCACATGACGTTTGGCGGTAAATTTAGGATTTGTTTTGTCCTTGAACACGTGGACTGGCCTCCGGGCCATGTCAAGACCCAATTGCCCTGTCTTCTTCAGAATACACGTATCCGGCTGCACTTACTGACTTCTTATACCGGCTAGGAAGTCTAGAGACGCTACATAAGGGAGGTTTAAAATCCACAAAACAGTGTCGATTGCAATTAAAGTCTTCCTTTAAGATCGTAAGCGTAGAGTCGCTGATTTAGGCTCGGAGTCGTGTATCTCGCCCTACATAAGGGAAGGTTGTTGCGTCCTGAGGCTTCTGAGCCACTCTAAGAAGTCAGTAAGTGCAGCTGGATACACATTCTGAAGACGACAGGACGAATAAACCTGGGCATGAATAGAAGGCCAGCCCAAGTGCACAAGGGCCAGACCAATCCTAAAGTGAGCGTCAACCGTCAGGTAGTCACAAAAACAAAACATTACAAAGGTTTCCTCTGAAGCGTTTAACTAAGATTTCAATAGAGAGAAGAGAGGGTTGGAGCATTACTATGGATTTCCCAAACATTAGTCTGGAGCAGTTTAATCTCGCTTCCCAAAAGTAAAGTTTTAAAATAAATGATTATCTCTTCCCTATAAAAGCAATGTTAACACAGTAATTGGGATTGGAACAATTGCTTGTCTGCATATACTTACGATAAATACGTGCATCTGTATTCTATGTAAAATTATACCGAACTAAAATATAAATTGGTGTATTGATGCAACGATAAATTACAAATTCGGCATTTTTTGCACTTTCTTTAGAAGTACAACTGATGCCTTCTAGTTACCCATTTACTACTCGCGCGACTTGAACATTCATTTTAAACATTGCGATCGCGTAGTGTAGGTATGAACGGTACCAATACCTGCACGGCGGACGACATTAACGAGATCGGCCGTAAAACTCAGGAAAGAATCGAACATGAGCACCGCATTGACAATGTGTACATGCTTACGTACACAATACTCATGGCTCTCACCGTTCTCACCATATGGCTCTTCAAGCATCGAAGATTCCGCTACATTCATGAAACAGGTCTTGCTGTCGTGTATGGTGCGTTAACTTCTTTTGATGACAGGATAGGTCTTATTGTTGGTGCTATCTTCAGGTATGGCGTTCCGGAACGGCTCGTAACAAGTAAAGTATATGGGTTGACTTCTGCTTCTTCTAATAGCTGTTCGTTGACATTACCTCCCGAACGTGCTATAATCAACCTTACGGTTACTGAGCCAATTCCGACGTCCCGTTACTATCATTATTATTTGGAGTTCGAGTCAAGAGATACTGTAGCAGCACACTACAGGGTTAGCTGCAAATTTTATTTCACATTCTTAGATGACATTCAACCCTGAGATATTTTTCAACGTTTTACTGCCTCCGATCATATTTTCCGCCGGTTATAGCATGAAACGAGCAAGTATTCCTTTCGTTTATAATATTTCTAGAAACATTTTTTCAGTAACTTTGGTGCAATCACCACATTTGCGTTTGCGGGGACATTTATTGCGTCAATTGTTACAGCGTAAGTCGTAATTGCATAACAAATCTTTTAGTTCTATGTGCTTTGGGTTATCACGATTCATCCCGCATCTTAATAAAGGCCTTCGCTTTAGCGATTGTCTTTTCTTTGGCTCGATCATCTCTGCTACTGACCCAGGTAAATTTGCCTCATTATCACTTTTTTTCTAGTTACCGTTTTGGCTATTTTCCACGACTTGAACGTCGATGTTGACATGTATGCGTTGGTATTCGGAGAGAGTGTCCTCAACGACGCAGTTGCTATCTCATTATCTCAGTTGAGTCAGTTTACTTGCTGTTTTCGATTCTTGCCGAGAGGGTCTATTGCCCTCATTCAAGTCTCCTTGAGGATTTGGCTGCAAGCTAACGTCCAATATTTTCTTACGTAGAACAGTCGATCGCTTTGATCCCGCAATCCACGGTGGGTTAACAGAGCGGTCTTTATTTTCTGCTGTGTGGTGCTTTGTCGCCAATTTTGGAAGCTCCTTCATTCTTGGTTCGTCAATTGGATGCTTCACAGCGTTGTTGACAAAGTACACGTATATTCGCGACTATCCCATTTTGGAAACCGTTCTCTTCGTTCTCTTGTCCTACGCTACATTTTCTCTCTCTGAAGCAATCGGCCTTACTGGTACGTTGAGACTCGTTCGTCTACCTTTGGTACAGTCGTTTTGGGGATTTACTGATCTGCTGTTAAAGGCTGTACTTTGACACTATTCCGCAGCTGTCTGATGCCGCGTTTTATTCGCCCATTGTTTTTGATGTTCCATACAGGTATCGTTGCACTTCTCTTCTGTGGTGTTACTCAGGCACACTACACATTTAACAACTTATCACGCGAATCACAAGTGTGGACAAAGCAGGTTTGCATGTTTTATTATTGCAAGTTTGCTGCATATTAGCTCTCTGAAGACATAAAGTTGCTAAGTACAGGTTCATTTCCAGATCTTGAGTAAAGGATTTAGAGTAATTGGTGAATAAAACAGCTGAAATTGGAATTGCTCTCCTTTCGAAAACTAGCTGTAAGTGAGCTGTCATGCGAGTTTTTTGTGTTGCGCTTCGATGCAAAAATTGGTCATCGTCCTTCTTGTCACCAAGCCTCATTTTATTTGAACCTTTAGTAGACCAGATTGGCGTACTATTTTCAGTTTTATTATAGCTCAACGCGATCCAATTTTGAGCCATTGTCATTATTACACCATAGTTCTTCGAGTTGCTGAGTTTTCTCGCGGAGAATTTTGTATTTGCCTACATTGGAGTGTCGACATTCAGCGCACCCTCGCACAACTGGGACATTTGGTTCATCCTCATCACCATGCTGGCTTGTGTGATAGCCCGCATGTGTGCTGTGTACCCGCTCTCAAGGCTGATTAATTGCGCTAGGAGCAACCACTGCACACCTCGTTGCTGTCGTCGGGGCTCCCGAAGTTCGGCAGGAGGGAAAGCTCCCCAGGGAGACATCTCGGATAACGCTGTTTTTGGGTGGCAGCGCTTTCATTCCTCCACCTCTATTTCTGCACCACCCGGCACTCCTGTTGCCGCTATTAGCGATACCAATGTGCCTGAATCGAAAGGTCTTATTGGCTGGAATAGGCAACATCTACTTGTGTTCTGTGGCCTTCGAGGTGCGATGGCTTTCTCTCTCTCTATACGTAACACCAGCACCGAAGTGAGGCAAATGTTTTTCTCTACCACAATCTTTATTGTTATCATCACTGTGCTTTTGGGCGGCTGCCTCGCTATTCCGATGCTCCAGTGGCTGAAAATCCCGTGAGTTGCGCATTTTGACAATGAAGACAATTTGATCTGTCCTTTCGCCTTTCATCTCGTGTCCCTACTCAGAAGCCAGCCATGCTGACAAGCAAACAATTTTATACTTTTTCCTCCTCACATTAAACCACCTCGAAATTGGTGGGTGCTATTTGGAACTATGTTTGTCAAAAGCTACTAGCTCTGTTAGTCATTTATTTTTCTGCTGAAATCAAT